TTTGGAGCAGGAGTCTGTTTTGAAGTGAAGAGCTTTGAGTCAGCAGAGCGGTCCTAGAGCACCCAGCTGGAGTCCTTCCAGGCAAAACTAACCTGGAAGGTGTCCTCCAGGACAGCTCCTAATTCCTCCAGCCCCTATTAGGGATGCTCAGGACACCAGATCAGGCTGGACCTACAATGAAATGACCTCCCAGTAACAGGCAGCGAAGCTTGTGGTTGTTGCCACCACTTGCTTGGTCCCACAGACCCAACCTCCTACCGCAGTCATGGCCATAGCACCCCTGAAATCCCCTCTTCCAAGGATGTCTCCAGGCTTCTCTTGAACCCTTGTAATCTTTTGGGAGCCTGGCATTTTTTGAGAAAAGGTGCTACAAATATCCTAGCTTTTTTTTTTTTTTTGTTCCCTCAGAATGAATATAAGGAAGAAATTTTTCACTATGAGGGTGGTGAAACACTGGAACGGGTTGTCCGGAGAGGTGGTAGATGCCCCTTCCCTGGAAACATTCAAGGTCAGGTTGGATGGGCCTCTGAGCAACCCAAACAAGTTGAAGATGTCCCTGCTCATTGCAGGAGGGTTGGACCAGATGACCTTTAAAGGTCCCTTCCAACCCAAACTATTCTGTGATTCTATGATTCTGTCATTCTTTTATCTGAAATCCTCCTTGTGTTTAACCTGGCTGCTGCCAGCTGCCTTTGGTGATCTTGCTTTAGTACTGGGACAGTCAATGGAGAGCTGATCCTCACCTCCTTTTCTCCTTATGATTTTGTGGAGGACTGGGTTTTCTCCTGCACTTCCCTACATTTGTGATGCTTAGGAACAGGATAAAATTAAATTCAGTGCTTTAGAAGCATCATTTCCCTTGTCTAATACTAAAATATGTATGTTACTATGAAGTTAGCTGAGGTTGAACAAATTAACCTCCTGCTGTCAATGAATGTAGAATAATGGGTATAATGTGTTTTGTGGCTATATAGCTCAACTTCAGCAAGGCTTTTGCTGCCTTGACAGTTAAATCTTTTCACTTAACATTATAAGCAAACTAGGCTAAAGCAGTCTAGCAGAAACTACAGCGGAATGATACAAAGCTGTTTAGGAAGCCATGTCCAGAGAGAAGTCAGTGAGAGCTTGCAGTTAAAATAGAAGTGTGGCTACAGCAGCATTCCTCAGTGTCTGCCTTGGGCCCAGTGTTTTCATTAATCATTTAGATGACGGAACAGAATGTGTTTGCCTATTAAATATGTAGATGACACCATGCTGAGAGGGGCTGCAAGTTCTTTGGAGACAGGATGAGAACTCAAAAAATGGAGATGTGATCTGAATAGGAGCAGGTGTGAGGTATACATTTAGGCAGGAATGATGAACTGCACAAATGTGGGATGGGGAATGTTGGCAGCTCCTTCCAGGCTCTACCTTTCCCTGCGGACTGCTCTCAGTACTCCAGATATTAGTGGCACACCGAGTACCCTCAGCCGCTGTTGTTTTTCTTGCTCCAGAATTTGTCAGGGCTTGGGCTTGTCAAGGCTCAGGGCTCAGCTGGAAACTGGATTCTTTAATTTGGTTTCCTTATGAGGACCTGAGAACCACCATTGGACAGCAAGCTGGTAACCCAGCCGTGCACATGGAGGCTGCCCTGTTGAGCAGCCTTAATCCAAAGTGAACATGCTATGGTTTCCCTTTACAAACATGGAATAAGTTTCTTACACGCTATGTCACGTTTCCCCCCATCGGTTACTGCCATCTGTAACACTGTTCATAACAGACCGGTCTCCCGAGTAGGCTCAGAAGCTCCAGGTATTATCAGTGTTGTGTATTCAGGTCATGTGCAATATTTGGCCAGGTCTTTGAGAAATGACCAGTTAGGTGCCGCTTCTTCCTCAGAAGATGATCTAGGGATCCTGAAGCTAAAGTTTCTTACACGCTATGTCACGTTTCCCCCCATCGGTTACTGCCATCTGTAACACTGTTCATAACAGACCGGTCTCCCGAGTAGGCTCAGAAGCTCCAGGTATTATCAGTGTTGTGTATTCAGGTCATGTGCAATATTTGGCCAGGTCTTTGAGAAATGACCAGTTAGGTGCCGCTTCTTCCTCAGAAGATGATCTAGGGATCCTGAAGCTAACGTTCACTGAAAATATTGCAGAAAATGCAAATTGTCCCCTGCCAAGTGGTGTCCAGGGGAGGGTTGCCTGTGGGACACGAGCAGTAAAGCTTTGCTCAACTTTGCTTTGCATTACTGTGTTCAGTTTGGAGAGAAAATAGCAATAATCAAAGCCTAGAAAAGAGGATTGTCAGGGAAGGGTTAACCTAACAACAGGGGATCTGAGAACAGTCTTCAAATGCATGCAAATACCATGAAGGAAAGAATTTTTCCCCCACTTTCATGGATGGAACTTAAATTGCTGTAATGAATGCTGAACTTGTATGTTTTGTTTCTAATGGTATGGCTGTTAAAGCAGCAGAGTAAGTTGCCTGGAGAGATCCGTAAGAGCAAGACAAACAAATCTCTCTTGGGAATGATGCAGGTATAGCGGGGCCCCAGACAGGTGGGCTATGGTGTTGCCCAGCCAACCTTGGGGTCCCGAGGTCGGGTTGGGAGTCTTTCTGTCAGTGAGGGTCTGGCCCATTCAGACAGATGATTTGTGCCTGAGAAGGGGAGATGGACATGAGCCTCCACCCAAATTTGCAGCCCTGTGTTTGAAGTTTGGAATGCAGTATGCTTAAATGAAGGTGTTTGCAAAAATGGAACTTTCTTCCCTGCCCTCACCATGCTCTGGTCTGTGTGTTCACGCTTTTAGGTTTACTTGGGTTTATTTGTCATGAAGTTTTGTTTATACTTCTTCTGTGCTAACTGTTCCCTATTTTATTTAGTATTATTATTACTACTGCAAGTTTAATATTTAAAATTTTTAGGCATATCACGTCTGTGAGAAGAATTAAAAAGAAAGGGGGGGGATCTAAAGCCAAACTCCTAAAAATACCGTCAGAGACCAAGAGCAACCCTAATTTCAGTTAGTCAATAGAAAATGCAATTTTTCATTACATCTGAATTTTAGAGCACATATTTAGAACATCATTGGCCAATATACCTATTGAAGAAATTCCTGTCTCTATTTTACTGGGTTATAATTTATTTCAAAGCTGTTGTGCATTGTTTTCTTTTCTTTTTCTTTTTTATTAAGGACTTTAATAATAAAAATAACAGATAAACTCATTTGAGTTTAAAAAGTTGGGAAAATTTGTACTAGTTGAGCTATGATTTCTTATTTATGTTTTAGTACCGTAGAAGAAAGACTAATCAGCATTCAAAGTATTAGGTTAAATAAATATTCCAAAGTGTACATTGTCGTAGAAAAAAATGTGTATTATTGGAATGTACATGGTCTTTGACATTTAAACCTCTGTCTTTAGTTATATAGACTGATGTGGCTGGATGATTTTTGTTGTTTGGCACATACACAGAATCACTCTTTTAGGTATAGGTCAGGTCTTTTTTGAAGATTCTTTATTTTACCTCGAGTTACATCTTATCTTGTTATTCTGCTTTGTTTAATGTAGCCTGAGACACTTAGGTAAAAGTATAATGTGAAATAGAGAATATATACTAATTTCCAATAAGTGTAGATTTTAAGGCTGAACATGAGAACTTCAAGACCTTTTCCTTTCATTCAGCACAAGCAACCATTATTATTTTGAGTAACTGTGAATATGTGGTGTTACACAGATGTCCAGAGTCCCCTCCTTAATCTAACCTTTGGCCTCAACAGGATGTTTTTTTAGGAGAAAGTATCACTTGTGTGAGAAACATACCTGTCTGTTCAAACTGGAATGCATGGTCTAGGCTGATTAAAAAGTAAATTAATATCGATACAAATATCCACATCTACTGAATTCTAAAGAGTAGTTAACTGAGAAGTGAAATTGATAAATATATACTGAAAATTCCAGCTGCCTTCACAAAAGTGGGGGGGTTTAGGAAAAAATCCTAATGATAAGCATCAAAATAAAATTCTTTTCTCTGTGAACTTAAGACAGTGAAAGGAAGTCTTGAAAAGAGATTTAAAAATTTGTTGCATTTCTGAGGAGTATGGTAGTTCTAGTTCAATGAGTTAGGAAGTATAATTTATGCTGCATGTCTGCTTTGTTAATGTTCAAGCACTTCGCTGTTACTGAGTCTATGGATAGCAAAACATCTTCCACCTAGCATATTTTCAGGAAAACTTTGTTGTTCTTACATGCGTGAATCGTCATACTTTTTTACCTGTTCAACAACAGTAAATATTTTTGTAAATAATTTTTGCTGAAGGAAAACTAAGATACAATTCTTTACAAACAGTATTGTACGCTGTTTTGGAGGTACTCATTGGGGAAGTTCAGCATTGAGTAGGCCTTTGGAGAATACTATAAATTTCATCTTCATGGTTGATGCATATTTAAAAATGATTAATTGAACTTACCCTGGGAAAATGAGGACTCTATTTTATGCCATATTTAGAAAGAATTCTATTCATCTGGCTCAAATGTAGTAAAGAGTCTGCAACCAGGCAATTTGGAAAAGTTTTCAATTTCTATATGGGTTTTTTTTCACACCTGGATGGTTTTTTTCTTACCAGTCACCATAATGGTTATCTTAAAGCATGTTTGAAAACTTACAATTAAATCAATACTCTCTATAAAAATGCTGTTATCCCGTAAAATTGTTCATTTAGAGTTTAATCTTGTCTATGAAGTTATATGATCTATATGATTTGAAGAATGAAGGTTTTTATTACTTACTCTTTTTTTGTTTACTGAAGTAATTTATCTCTGTCTTTACATATAACTTGAATGCGATCTAATTAATTTATGTATCAGTATTGCCACTTACCATTGTAGATTTAATTATTTTAGTTAGGACTCTTTAGTGAACATCCTGGTTTTAGTGTCACACGTAAAAAGCAAGTAAGTTGAATATTTTGAAGTTCAAACTGAAAGGTAAAAATGTAATTTCTTTACTACAGCAGAATACAGTACAATCCACAGTCCATCAACACCCATTAAAGATTCAGATTCAGATAGATTGCGTCGTAGTTCAGATGGGAAATCACGTGGACGTGGCAGAAGAAACAATAATCCTTCACCACCACCTGACTCTGATCTAGAGGTACATTATATTAGATATCTTTGACCCGGTACAGACTCTATCTTTATTATTATTTTGCAGAGAGAAGTATTATTTACATATCAAAAATAAAGTGTCACTGGAGCTCCCTTTCATTTTTTTCTAATAGTATTTTTGTGGAAGATAGAATTTTTCTTCTAAAGAAACTTCAGCACCTACTTTCTCTGAGAAATAGTGGGGGTTTCATTCTCATTTTGATTAAAAAAAAGATAATAAAAGCAATGTTTTGCCAAGTCTAAGGTTTGCATTTGGACAGGAGACACTTCTAGCACAATAATGGTTTTTGTTCTCTCATGCTGTGTTCACATTCCCCTCAGCAGCCCGTGCTTTGTGTTGAGAACCCATCTCTAGTGACACACCACAGCTATGAGTGTCCACACTGCATTACCCTTCCTTTCCAAAAGCTTAGCCTGTTTGTCATCATGGGAAATACAGTCTCACCAGGATTTAAAATACTTGTATTTGAACACTTTATTTTTCATTAAAATATCATTTTGTGTGTGGTCAGAGGACAAATTTGAAACACATATTTTCCATTGGCTGTAAGTGAAAGAATTATTTACTGATGCCATAAATTCTTACACATGCAACATCTGAGTTCATAATTTTCATGCTTCAGGTGCCTAAAATCCATTAAAAATGAACATAGATTAGGGGGATTTAAATGCTTAGCAGCAATTTGCTTTATTTTATTTTTTAGAGTTCATTTTCAAGAGCAGTTACATGAACTTTGTTTTGTAAGACTTGCAGAAATACAGAATTCAAACCCAGAAGATTTAATTTTCATAGGCTTCTCTTCATTTATTTCAGTTTCTATCTCACATCTGGCTTTAAAATAATGCATCGTACAACTCATTTTCTGTGTGTATTTGACAATAACTATAATTTTATTCTAATAGAATAATTTGATATAATAGCAATTGTAGTAAAAAGCTAACAGATTGTATTACCCTATTCTGGAAAAAACTTGTTAGTTCTGAAAATAAATGGCAAGGAAACTATGGTTTTAATATATAACCATTTCAATACAATTTTCTCATTTGTGCACTTACTGATTCAAATTTTAACTTTCCATTTCAAGTATCAGCTTCACAGAGGAACACATTGATTTGATTCTCTTTTTACAGAGAGTATTCATTTGGGATTTGGATGAGACAATCATCATTTTCCATTCCTTGCTTACAGGGTCCTATGCCAACAGATATGGAAGGGTAAGTGTCAAGAAACTGATGGAAATTTTCAGTAATATTTGTTGGTTTATGGTTGATATACAAGGAAGACCAGAACAATAGTTGATTTCCCAGAGGCAAAATGGTACTGGAGTTTCAAGACATAAAAAATCAAGGAGTAAAGCAGTTTCACATCCATTCTTTGCACTTACTCAGCTCTTATACTCAGTAAATAATTAAGTAGGATTGGGAGTAATACTTTGACCACTTGAGGTTTGGTTTGTGAGTACAGAGTGTCTGAAACCTGTTGATAATCATGAAAATCTGCAAAGGTTTAGTTCCCTTGAGATAGGGAAGAACTTCCAGGAGTGATTGCTAAAATAATGTTTTAGTTCTGAGCAACTGGCAGTGAACTGTGCTCTGTATTGAGAAGGCAAGAGGAAGAATACTTCTGGAAACAGACAGATTAATCTGAAATTTTTTACCTTAACTTTTTGTTAATCTACATATTGACTGATGATTTTGAAAGTCTGCTTATGAGTCAAATCTTTCTATTATGCACAGTCTATAAATCATAACTGAACTGGTGGTTATGTCCACAGCCTGTGGGTTTCCTTGGTGATTCTCAGAAGAGAAACAGGGCTATTGTATTTGAAAGCCGATGTCTCAGCTTGTGCTAAAATCTGTTGTGCCATTTCACGTTCACGTCACGGGAAGTATAACTAGAAAGTGATTATTTTTTTTTTGTAACCTTAAAAAGTTTTTCACATAAAGAACAACCAGATAGTTTTGTCTGGCTTCATGTAATCACTCTGTCTTCTTGTAAAGCTCATATTTATCACTAAAAGGTTTTACCCTCACCCAGCTGAGTGAAGGGCAAAGCTACTACTGATTCAGTCTGTGTCTGTGACAGGTTCTGAATTCCTCCTAATAGTTTTTTGCATTACAAAAATCTAAAGCAGTACCTCTTTGTAACCTTTCTTGCTTGTTCAGGTGTGGTGTATTTTCAGAAATGTTTGCTGTAATAGCAGCTTACCTGTTTGAGGAATATAATTAGGTTTTTTTTATTACATGTCAGAAGAGCACCCCAAAATCACCAAATTTGCAACAGTTTAGTTCAGCTTAGAATGAGGAGAACAAACCCCAGTGCTCTCAAAACCCCCCAGTGCCAACAGAATCTCACCACTTGCTTTTGGGCAGCAGAGCAGGGCTGGAAAAGCCTAATTAGTCATTGCCATAGAAGTACTTGTGCAAGCGTATTTTTTCCATTTGTTACTAGTTCCCTATAGTGGTTTCATTAATTGAGGCCTGAACATAAACACCTTTCTTGCTGGATGCTTGAGGTTGAGGAAAGTGGCTAGTATTCAGCTGCGAAGAGATATAAATACCTATGCTGCAAGGAGGTGGGTGACTCCTGATTGCAGCTCCATCGCTGCTGGCACTGTTCACTTGAGATGTAGCTTTCGCCCGGCTGGCTCTGGTTGCATGGCATGTGACAGAATACTTCTGCATTGCTAAATGACAACCAACTGTTGACGTTAAGAGGGATGACGGCATTGGTGCTTATGCTGGGGATAAACACACCTTTTTGGTGAGGGGTAGCAACGTGCATGTCCTTGGCTCTCAGGTGCAGTCATGAAAGTGTGCCATTCTTGCTTTGTTTTCCTAAAGTTTCATTCATATCACAGTTTCTCTTGGCTTATTGACAGCTTCAGACAACAGTTAGCAATTTCCATAGACATTAGAGGAAGAAAGTGTCAAATGTTCAAAGCAAACATGCTAAAACATGTATCTGTCATAGGAGAATTGTAGGGTTTATTTGCAGCAATGGGAGGTGCACATTTTTTTAAAGAGTGTTTCCTGATGATTTCTGGCCTTTAAAATCAGAAATCTGGATCATAAGTCAATCTGGGGAAAAAAAAAATGTTGAGGGGAATTTTTGTTCTTTTCACCTGTATTGTGCTTTTTGAGTGACCTAACATCACATTCTCATATGTTTCTGCACTGTGATAAGGGCTAGAGATGCCCTTTTAAAAAATTAAATCTAAGCTGCTCACATAATCATTAAAATACAAAAGCTGGATCTTCAAACAAACCAAAATATCCTAATTAAATAGTAGGGGATTTGGCAACTTGGCATTCAGCTCTTTTCATAATGCCTGAGTGAGTTTCATGGTGAATGACTATGAATGATGAGCAGCCCTGCTGCTGAAGGGATTGATTTTCTTTTCCTTATTCTCTACCTTGTTCCTCATAACTTCTTGCTTGTGCCACCCTCTCCTGTGTATTCTTACTTTCTCATCTGTTTTTATCACCTGCTCTCCTTTTGCTGCTATTGTGCTCTGCTTTCTCCCTGCTTTTGTCCTTCAGCTTTGTTGGAACAAAATACTACCCTTGTTTTTCAGTTTGCGCAGTCATGGTATAAACAGCTACATATTTATTTAAGGGGGATTTTAATTTTGTGAATTTCATGTAAATATATGGAACTAGTATAGAAATATGATTTGTACTTCCAGAAGAGAAAAAAAAAAAGAAATAAACCAAAACATTTCCTTTTGCTTTGGATTTTTTTTTTAATACATACAGAGAGAGATATCTTGATCAAGTATCAAGTTATCAGTTACCTTAATTAACATCAGGGCTTCTAGCACCTCAAAACTTATGCTTTGAGCCAGATGTCAACTGACTGAAGTTTTGGAATTTAGAAAAAGTCAGAGCCCTTCTTTTAGTATCTTAGGGCAGGTGGAAATACCTCTCAGTACTGGCACAAGAATACTGTGATCTTTATGTACATTTCCATTCTCTGTGAAAGCATTTATATTCAGCGGCTTTAAAGGAATTTTCCTTTAAATTATAAGCTATTTTAATGTGTTTTAATATATTTTAGAGATTGAGAAAAACAAAGCCTGGTTTCACTTAACCCTTCATTTGTGACCTGTAGGCTTAAGTGGAAAATAAGCCTTGTACCCAAAGTGAACTTTCCTGTTTTTCAGCTTCTTGTTTCTCCACAAAACAAAGAAATTGAGTCGGTAGAATTTAGAAATGACATACAGACAATGTTTTGGCTCCCATACCAGTATTCAAAACAAGGGGCCTGATTAAGCAGTTTGACATTGGTATTTCTTTTCTTTAGCTAAACTGTACCTCCCTCAGAGATTTGTACCTGATTTTGACCATACCTGAAAAGACACTCCACCTGAACCTGCAAATCCCAACCAACAAGAACAGATTGTTAGCTTTCCTCCTCATTGTGTGACACCTCACCATAATTAGTTAGCAATTAGTGGCTTAAAATTGCAAAAGCAGGTTCAGTATGGGATTATTTTTTTAAAAACCTTATTCTGGCTTTGTCTTTTTTTTCAAGTTTTCAGCCCCCGCTGTAATGTCTGACATCGGAGTTTAATCTAAGTTTCTTAATCTACCGAGGCTCTTGTGCTTTTTACCAGAGCAGCTGCAAGACTGTGGTTGTGACTACACAGACATTTTAAAACCTAATGCAGATACAGCTTTTGCTTCTGTTAAATATGTGGGTATCCAGAGCTGCAGCTTAATACAGTTTTTATGCTAAGTGGAACTTTCTATAGAAAAAGATTGTGTTTAATCAAGGAATTAAGGTTTCTTTGAAAAGCAACCTGTTTTGTTTCTTCTCTTAGCTTTTATGGTATTTAATCTGACATTTTCAGTAGGTGCCAATGATTTTCTTATTTGTTTTTCTCCTAATTAAATTAACCTAATAAATGGCATTATTTTAATATTACTTTAGAGAAATCCCCATTCTGTTTTGTCTGCCATTTAAAAATACCTTGGAGTGAAATGGTTCACAGAAAGACTTGCAGAAAGACATTTTTTCAGACTCACAAGTGTGATAAAAAGTTTAATAAAAATGTTTAATTTAAATCTTGCGTACATAGAAACTTAAAATATATATTCACAGCCATTCATTTAAAATTAACCATATGGGTTCATAACCAACATCATGTTATGTCTCCTGATTCGTTATTTTCAAAATGATGCTCCTATTTATGGATGGAAGCTCAGAATGGGATTAGTTCTACACTTGTAGGTTAGCAGTTGATAATCAAGGTGTAGGTAGTGATCTTCATTTTAGGATGTTAGGGGTTAGACCATCTAACTCCTTTTAATAACTGGAGCAGAGAGTTCTGTGGGACCACTTCTGTTAGGGCTCACAGAAATCCTTGTCTGGTTTAAAAAAAAAAAAGCTAACGAGCTATGAAAGATGGTGGGGTGGTAACGGGACACACAGATAAACAGGAATGTCAGTGGGAAAAGTAGCCTCAGGCCTAGCTATAGAGAAAATATCACCTGCTTTCCACCTCATATGCCTACAAAAGTGAAATAAAGGAAGATGTAGGTCTACAAATAAGGCAATATTAAAACAGAGAGACAGAATACTTTTGTTTATATTTGAAAGTCTTTCCATTTGAATTAAGAAGCCAAATACTTTTTTTTGGCAGTGCCAGTTTAAATAGAAAGCTTATTTTTAAGGGCAAAGTTTATCAAAATAACATGATGCAATTTTTCTTTCCCATTTATAGGGGCTATTTTTTTGATACTAGAAAACTTATTTACTCTTAACGTATGTGACTTCAAGAATAGATGTTTTGTCTGTTCTATGTGGCTTTGTTTCTAAATGCTTCTTTCTAAAATTCTTTTTCTGGTTAGTTTTATTTCAGTTTTGGCATTTCCAGAAGGCAAACAAACTGCCAAGTCACCATTCTTTTCCAACTCTTTGCTACTGACACGTTTTGCCTTTTAACCAGTATTTATAGAAAAATGTTTGAAAGTTCAGAGATCATGTTGAAACACCTATTAATTTGATTGAGAGGTGGAAAAAGAAACTAGGGACTGCATCTCTTGGTTTTTAACTTCGAGTTGTCATCAGGTTTAGAATATTAACTTATTTTAAGTAAAATATGGGTTGTCACTTCTGCAGCTGTATTTAAAATATAATTCCTAACAAACTAACATTGGTAATAGAGGGTGTCACGAGATAATATAACATGTTCTTTCAAACTCATGCTTCTGTGCGCTTGGATATACTTGGCATTATAAACTAGAAACTCTATATCAAATGTGTATATTAGGCTTTCTTTTCGATTTTTCAGATTGAAAATATATAAAACACAAAAAAAATCAAAACAAGACAAACATCTGTAATGCATTTGGTAACCACAATGCTGAACATGCTTTTTGAGTTTATTAGCTCAGTAAGGAATAAGTTGTTATGGTAATTTCTGTAGAGAAGTTAGTGTGTTATGTATTAATAACAAACAATAGATTTGTTCACTCTGCATGGGTGGGCCAAACTGAAAGCATAATTAAAGCATGGTTTTGTGGAGAATCAAGGAGTGGTTATAAATATAGTTGCCATTTACAAATAAAACATTCACAGTGATTTGCTTTAAAGTCACTAGGTATTCCCAGGATTGAATCCTTTCACTTGTGACCAGTGAGAGTTTATTTGGAGTAACAATAGCATTATCATGCCCCCAGTTGATCGTAAAACTTGTAAACAGTTGTAAAATCTGGAGAAGTTTCAGGTGAAATAGATTTGCTCTTTCTGCACAGAGGGCAGAGAGCCCACACCAGGGATGCACGAGGGGGACCACAGAGGTCCCACTGCAAAATCAAGGTATCAGTCAAGTTAAAGTCATATTTTTGAGAGTTACTGGTAAGTGTTATAGTACAGGATTAGAGAGTCGCTGAAGTTCAACTGAACAAGTGGATGTTGCATTTAATACATCAAATAATCTCTCTTGAAAAGCAATTCCTTGAGTTTGTATTCTGGTATGTATGTTAGGCATGGTATTGATGGTGTACTCGCTTAATTTCTTCTTTAAGGATCCACCCACCTCTGTCTCTCTTGGACTCCGAATGGAAGAGATGATTTTCAATTTGGCGGACACGCATCTATTCTTTAATGATTTAGAAGTAAGTGCTTATTCTTTGAAAACACGTAGAGGTGATTTAATATTTGTCTCTTTTTACATGTTATTAGATGATTTGACAATTATTTTTGGTTTCACAGTTTTAATGTGGAAACGTTTAGAAAATATCCATATAATTTAGTCATTAGGTTATATAGTAATATCTACACTAAATGTCTGCACTGGCATTCAAAGGTTACAATAGGTTAAATGATAGGGTTTTGTTTTCACAGGTCTTAGTATTTGTGACCACGGTAGACAAGTTGTAGAAGTGGATAAAGCAAAAGCATCTATAAACATTAGAATTCAATAGTCTGCCCAGGCCATTAAATATTAAACTTCAGCTTCTATAAACAGCTAATGGCTGGGCACAGATTTCTCACTGCGGGCAAGTATTACCTTAAGCCCGAGGGAAATCATTAATGTTGTATACACTGTCCATCTCAGTGGCCTCTTACTGGGGGTCCTCCGCCTTCCCCAGCGGCAGGTACAATTTGTTATGCGCTAGGGTTTCTCTGCCTCTCCCCCGTGGCGTGCGGTGAGGAGCTGGTGTCGGCACGCCAAAGACTTTTGCAGCCTACGTAGGCTATGGTTTGGCGATGCTTGTGAGATCATTCTAAAACTATCCAAACTGCTGAAAGAGACTGTCACCATAATGCCTGGCTGTTTCATCTTAAAAGGGAAAAAAGCAATTTCTGATCATATTTTAATAACACAAAAACATGAAAACAGTCAGATTTCTTTCCCATCATAATGAAGACAGCTGTTTATTTAAAATCCAACTGTTAAGCAAGCTTTTGGTGGGGCTGCCAACACACATTAATCATCAAGTTGTTGTTTTGCTAGATTTTAGAATAGTGTGTTATTCCAGACAGGCAAAAGAATCTAAAAGATTCAAATGCAACTTTTGCTGATCAAAGTTAATTGGCAGCAATTGGCCTTTAAATATTTCCTGATGTTTCCCTTTTCAAAATCAAGCAAAATACACCTTATTTAATAGATGAGCCAAAATCATTTGAAAAATGCCAGTGTGTGATAGACCTCAAATGTGGTTTGTCCAACATCTGTCCTATATTTTGATTTCTTTTCATCTAAAAAGAAACCACTCACAGATGATTTGGCATCTTAGAATGCAATGAAATTATTTAAATGTGCTTTATTTTTTCTTCCATTCCTTAGCAGAGTATTTATTTTTTATACTTAAAATAAAATAGATGATTTCTCATCTCAATTTTAAAGTAGTGTTTTCTTTCATTACGGTAGCTGTATGTAAAGATATGATTGTTTTGGATATAAGAAACACCATTAGCGAGTTGCATGTATAGGACTGATTTTTTAGATTTGTAGAAAAGTATAACAATGCCAGTTATTTTCCAAATCTGTTTCTGATTTCTGGTTATATTTTATTTTATCCAGAGCAGAAAGAGAAAGTACTACTGTATCTTACCAGCATATTCAATAAAGTTCAGTGTGTTTTCATCTGCTGTGCATAGCCAGATACTTAGACTTAGAGCTACTTCTTTCATACCTGATTGTCAGCATCACTGGCTTTAATGGAAGTTAATCAGCTGCATCTTAGGGATAGTAGATTATCTTCTGCTAATTGCCATGTTACAGCCTTAACAGTACAGCATAGCAGTTTATTCATTTTGAAGCTGTGTATGATGAAAATACTGATCCAGGTGGTTCATGGAAGCAGAGGCGTTCACTGGATGAGCATGGTTCTTTGCACTTCCCCCATAACAAGCCAGTTTATCTTGCGTCTCCAGACTCAAGTGTAATTGTCTGTGTCTATACTCTACTCTGTCGTCTTCTGAAAGATCGTGGTCTGCCCAAGGGAGAGAAGAGCATGTTCAGCAGTGCAGGGGAGTGGGGTTGTGGTTGTAGATAGCCATAGAGAAGTCTTCAGAGAAGTACACAGGGAGGGGGGCATAAGAGAGCCTGTACTTTGTGTGAAGCAGCACGTAAGGACTAGACTCAGCCACAGACTGAGGCTTTTGGTTCGCCAGAAATTTCAGGTTTTTTGAAACCTGTTGCAGATACATGATGTTTCTGAAGGAACGCATGCCCCTGGAGCTGCGTTTGTCGTTCTTGTGAGCGTCACCATTACTAGCAGGGCCTGCCTGGTTCCCAAGGCTTGCGACCTCAGGGCAGATTCCTCGCATCCGTCTCAGCAACTCTAAGTCCTTGCTTGGTGGTTTGGAAGTTCAGGCTGCCCTACAGCTTGACTGGCTTCCATGAAAACTGCAGGCAATTTGGCTTGGCTGTGCCTCAGGCTCATAGCATCTGTTCTTGCTGATGAAGGACTGAATATGGAAGATCTAGTGGTGACCCTGCTCAGGCCTAAGCTTTCCAATTCATGTGCATAGCATCTGGGCTGTTAGGAATCAAGAAGTTTGTAGGCAACGTTGCCAGCAAGCCACAGAATTTGGGCATCCTTGCCCCGAAATAGTATGAAGACAGGCAAAGCTGGATTTGGAACATGTCTAACCCACAGTGTAGACGTGTCTTTGGGTCTAGGAGTAATTCAAAGCAGGAACCTGAAAACTGATGCTGTCCAGCTCACCCAGCTCAGAGGGAACCCTTCCTGGCATATAGAGAGGCTGGGTTTATGGGCAGGCGATCGTCTGTCATAACTTTGGCCTATGATGCACATTTTTCCAGATACCACAAGTTAATGTTTTTTAATAAAAATCTTCTTTTCATCCAACACTTTCCAGAAAGCTCTAATCAGAACAGTTCTCTTGTTATCCAAGTTAGGGAGAAAGTATTTTGTCTTTGTATAAACTGCTGAAGACTGATTTAACATTACAAATGTAAAGGGCAGAGTTGCAGCAGTGATCTCCAAAGCACTGCTTGATTTGTGTATGACCTAACTGGCTTTTCAAAGCTCAGTCTAGAGATTTTTTTTTAATGTTGTTAGGTTAAATTTTTAACTTCAGCAGTCATTTTTTAGTCTGTGCAAAGCGAATGAATGCCAACGCCTGTCAGTTGCAATCTAATTTACCCATCCTAATTTAGTAGGGGATACAGTCAGGTAAACGAATCATCTAATTTCCTATAGGTTGCTCTTCATATAATAATAATAGTAATAGTAATAATAGTCATGTTATTTGTAATTGGCATTTTTCGAACTCAGTGAAAAAATTCAGTCACATCTCACCATCTAGCTCTGAAGTCAGTATTCTGTTTATGAATGAGTGAGCTGCACTTAGATTTACAATTACTGCACCCTCAGTTTATACTTAATTTATTGCTTTTAGAAATAGTAAGAGAGATGGCTTATTTTATTCTCTTTGCACAGATTTACTTGGAGTATTAATTCCAAATTGATGTAATAGCAAATAATTTCAGATCTTGAAGGAACATTTCTTAAACAGCATGTTAAAGGGGTATGACAAGTTTTTTAACATAATGAAAGGAAAATACGCATGTTTATTAATGTATACTTTGATCTAAGTACCATCATAAACAATGTTTTCTTGTATTAATAGTAAATTCATAATGAGATTATAGAAATATACTAGGCTAAACAGTAGAAAATAGTGCAGTGTTTTCAAAATTTACATTCTAGAAGCTGCATTTGGGCTTCGAAATAAGAAGTTTAGGTTTTCAGTATTGAAAATTTTCATTTAAATATCTCATACTCTGTTCTATAGTAGAATTTGAATTGTATGCAGGAGGGAATAACTACATTGACATAGTGCTCTCAAGAGAACCAGAGTTATCTCATCAGAAGAGAACGTGTGATTTAACATGCTGATTATGCTGTGGTAGGGATAATAAGCTATAATATTTTAATGGTATATATGGAGCAATTACACATATTAGATATTTTAAGATGTTAAAATGCTCCGGTGTTATAGGAAAATTAGCAACTTGATGATAGGACTGAAATGTGACATTTACCTATCTGCATCTTCAGAGATGGTATGTATTTACGTATTTATACAGACCCTCTTAAAAGATTAGTTTATTCATTTCTGTGGCATATCAGGTCCATGTTATAACTAGGCATGTTAAAGTAATAATTGCTGGTAGCGAATGATTATGAACATATTATTTTATAAAGTTAGTTCAGTGCTTTGCAAACTATACTAAAATGGTACCATCTCATTAGATCTGTTCCTTTAGAGATACTTACTGAAGCTGAAAATGTCATTCATGAAGCCTTTTTTTTTTTTAATCTTACCTAACACTTTTTTATGAGTAAGATACTTTTTATTTTTGTCTGTGTTGAATTCTATTGAAATAATTAAAATCAAATTAATTTTTAGTTTTATTTCATGATTTTTTTTTTCTTTTAGGCTTTTTATTTCTGTTCATTTCAGTTTTTTGCTGTGGACTTTTGAGGGGGGTTCAAAATAAGGTTATATATATTATGATACTATGAAAAAAATTACTTTTGACATCTCTGAGAAATGCAATAATGCGTAAGGGCACTGTAATGATGATTAGCATTCATTTTTCTTCCATCAGCAAAGGATATATAATATACACTCATGGCTTCACAATTCACTTCTGTTTCTGGAGTCTCTATATGCAAAGCGATGATATGTGTATGGGAGTCATTTATAATGAATGACAGGATGGTATGAGTTTTTCAGCTACGTTAGTTGATATATTTCTCTTACGATAAAAGATGAGGGAATGCTATCAGGTATTACTGTAAAGCAATAACTTTGGTTCTTTGGAAAAAAAAGAAATTAGTTAGGTCCTAATAGTTAGGAATGATGACCTTGATTAATTTCTCCTCAGATTCTTACTTAAAATCCAGATGGATGTGTATTAATGTGTTCCTGATGAAAATTCCAAGCATAGTCTCCTCTGTGTGTCAAAAAGAGCTGAATAACTGCTTTATGATTACAAGTATGGTGTTACTTCAGATTAACGAACCTTTAAGGCATCGCATTAGCATATTACTACGTATGGACCCCTCTGGAAGGCAGCACGCATTAGAGTTGCATGCGATTTCCGTAAGATGCAGCTCTGTGTGCAGCCAGG